GAACGGAAATTATTAGCAGCGCTAGTCACAAGCATCTTGATGCTCGAACTCTGTCTGCTTCCAGAGCTGGATCCGAAAAACTGTTCGTTTTTTGTTAGAGATGATGATGAGTTTCTTGATGTCATTCGAGCTCCAGATGAGCTACAGAGCTGTTTGGCACAGCAATCGACAGGAAGTCACTTGGAACGCTAGTCTGAAATATCTAGATGCTCGAACTCGGTCTGCTACCAGAGCTGGGTACGAAAAACTATTCGTACTCTGCTAATTTTATTGGAGATGATGATGCGTTTCTTGATGTAACTCGAGCTGCAGATGAGCTACAGAGCTGTTCGGCACAGCAATCGGAAGGAAATCATGAGACGCACCAGTCTCGAGTATCTAGATGCCCGAACTCGGTCTGCTACCAGAGCTCGGTCCGAAAAACTATTCGGACTCTGCTATTTTTTTGAGAGAGTACCACGGCTTTCGCGACATAACTCGAGCTGCAGAGGAGCCACAGAGCTGTTTGGCTCAGCAATCGAACGATAATCATCAGATGCGCCAGTCTGAAGTATCTAGATGCCCAAACTCGGTCTGCTTCCAGAGTTGGAACTATTCGTACTCTTCTCGTCCTCTTCCCTCTCCTCCCTCTCTTCCTGCTCATCCTTCTTTATCTGCTCCTTCTCCTCTTTCTCTTCCTGCTTCAACGGTTTTTCCTTTTTCTCCTCTTCATTACCATCATCGTCCCTCTTCTCACTCTCTACCCTTTTCCCTCCTGCTCGTCCTCCTCCTCCTCCTCCTTCCCATCCTTTTTCTCCGCCTGCGCCCTTTTCTCCTTCTCCTTCTCTCCCTCAGCCTCTTCCATTTCCTTCTCCTCCTCACTCCTCCTTCTCCCCCGCGCCCCCCTCCATCGAACCGCGCCCTCGCGCGTGCGGAACGCGAGATTGCCGCGCCCGCATTCCACGAGGAAGCTCTACGAGTTCCCAGCGGTAACCAAGGTTGGTTGTTTACCGCCGGCTCCCAGTTGAAAAGGTCGGCACGCGCCGCAAGCACCGCAATATTGAAAAGTAGGGGGCTTTCCGCGCCCCCCGCGGACGGATCGGTCCCGCGTCGTAGTAGCATCCAAGCCTTCGAAGCATAGGATCCCAGACGCCCCCGCCAGTGGTCCCAAGATCCCGTGTATGAGACCAGAGTGGACTTTGAGCCTCCAGAGCGCGCGACAGAATTCGGATTGTAATGGTGTCGAAAGCCTTCTTAATGTCCGCCTGCGCAACGCATGCAGTTTGGCCGTTGTTGTGTTGCCCCAGACGCTCGCATGTTTACATATCTGTTTCAGTGGTCCCACGATCTGCCGAGGGCTCCTATCAGGACTGAAACCGTAGAGTCCTAGTCGTTGCAGACCCTCAGACACCTCCGCCTCCAGGGAAATAGCGATTGAGGGTGTCTCGTCCAACGATCGTAACGTCGGCACCTCGGGCATCAAAGTAATGAGGACCTGTGGCTACGTATCAGGAGTCGGAGAGGCACCGCGACAGATGGAGAGAAATGCGGTGTAGATATGGCGACATATCTCCACGTAAGAGTATTCAACAACTCGGATGCACATCCGTCGGGCCCACACTACCTTCCCGTGCGGAGGCGGGCTCTCGCTCTGAGCACAACAGCAAAGGAGAGCTTCGGCGCTGGCCGAGAAGACGCACTGGCCTGCCCCCGCATGCGCCGCAAAAGAGAGAGCTGTGCAAGCGACATGGTCGTCGCCCCGTGTAACTGAAGCGCCTTCTCCCACTTCCACCGATCCTCCGTAACTTTCCCATCCTCCTACAATGATGTTGTCCGAACCCGTTTTTTTTTTGTTTTTTCTTTTCTTCTTCGTTTTTTTTTTTGCTGTTGTTTTTTTTTGTTTCCCCCCCCTCCTCCCTTCTTAAGCTCCGAAGTAAGCTGAACCCTGTCGTACTGTCGTTTATGGGGTCTGATGTGGGCTTTCTTCTGGTGGGGTCCATGTGGGTGCGTGACTTCAGCCTGCGGTACTCTGCCTGGAGGTCGGCCAGCACGGCCGGCTTCAGAGGCGCGGAACTGACTGCTACCCAATGTCTGCTGAGAAGGGCGGGAATTCCGATATCGGCAAGAGTGGCGAATTGGCCTCTGGAGTTGGTCCGAGAGGGGTCGGCGAGCTGTGGAGGCAGGGCGGGTCTGGGAGCGAGATCGATATCGAGGAGCTCGAACCTGGGGTCGGATCTCGTTAAGGAGGGCGTGTTCTGAGTACAAGCTGGATAGTCCAGCGCGCCTCCGATGCCTTCCAAACTGCAAGTTCGATCGGCCGATGGGCTCGAAGATCTGGCGGCTTCGTCCAGATGGTGCTGATGCCCTTGCCCGATCCTGTTTGGCCCGTGATCCCGAAGTTCGTGTTAGGATACTCTTTCATAAACGCCTGCCTCCAGATGCCGTGGAAACGCCCCACAGCGGCGATGTGTCCCTTCTTCCACTCTGGGGCCTCGATCTTGATATTGATTTTCTGGGGGTGGTGCTCCCTGTCTGTGAGGGCGTGCTGCTTGGTGCGGTCTCCCGCCAGCTGTTTCTGGGCCTCCGTGCACTGGCTGGGCTCCTGGATGATGGCGCCCCACATATGTCTACTCTTCCAAAGTGCATCCCCGTCTGTGCCAGCGCAAAGCTAAATGCGGCAAAAGGAGAACATCGGCTGGTTGCCATTGATACGAAGGGTTCCTGCATCGTCCACTTTGGCCCTATCTCCCTCCCCGAGGAGGTCGAGCAAGTTTCGAATAAGATGCTAGCAATTGAGGTCCGTGATCTGAGTCTTCTCAGCGTGACATCGCACTGGGGTATCCGTCACCCAGCCGCGAAGCTCGATGTATGATGGATTCAAGTGGCGCTGGGCCCCCGTACCTCCGATCGATGAGGCCCCTCCTGCACTCGGCGCCGCTGTGGAGATAGCAGTGCCCGCTTTGATGGAGGTGATCTCCTTCTCCAAGCGGTCGAGCTTGGTGTCCTGCTTATTGTTGTGCGCTCTGAGCGAACCGATATCGTCATTCACCTTTGTGATTTCCTGCTTTATCTCAATCATATTCTCGGACTGGAGGGAGGCGAGAGCACTCGAGGCGTCTCCGAGCTTGCCGAACGAGTGTGGGACGTCATCCGCCTTGCAAGCGTCACTGAAAGAGGCCATGCTCTTTTCACAAGCCTCCCGTTTCGCCTCCAGCGCCGTCGCCTGTGCTCGTCTCTTGACCCTGCGGTCATCGCCCATTGTCACATCAGCCACTGCTGTGGCCATATTTTTTAGCTGCCTGTTCTGATGCTACATTGTGGAGTTGACTGAAATGTGCCCTCCAGCGCTCACACCAGTCCTGGTCGCCTTTGATGGCGCGTTTTCGGGAAGCAGCCTGGGCCGCTGGGTCCTCTGTCTCCCGTCCTGTGCGATACTTGTCCGAATCAATCGACTCGGTGGGGTCGATGGGTGAGTCGATGGGTCCAGTCTCCTCGTCTGGCTTCTGTCTGGTACAGTGACGTGTCAAAACCTGATGAAAAGGGATGCGACGTCGTGCCTCCCTCGACCAATCGCAATCACAAGAGAGGTGTAGTCGGGCGCGCGAGAGAGAAGCTGAGACTGCGATGTAAGAAATGGAAGCGGGGAGGTGCAAATGACTGCAAAAGGGAAGGTGGCGTATCGCGACCTCCTCTTCTGAGCGACGTTGCTCTTGAGCCGACGCTGCTCTTGAGCCGGGAACTCGTAGAGCTGGGGGCTCGTATACCGCCCTTGGTTACCGCCGGGGACTCGCGGAGCTTCCCTGCCATGTATACGAATGGCACGGGCGCGCACAAACCTCGCGCATAGTCTTCAGAAAACTGATCCATCAGAAAAGAACGTCCTTATATACACTATTTGTGAGAATTGCTCTCTGTAGCCTGATCTCGCCTGTCTGCTGCCTCCAGATCAACGCATCTGATCATTCCATATCGATTGATTAGTACCTTGGGCAAGCGCTGCAGCGCAAGCTATACTCAGAAAACACACTACATCCGTCATGCGAAACAAGCTTATTTGATAATTCCTGCCTCTGTAGCCTGACCTCGACCCTCCGCCGCCCCTACGTCAATTCATTTGATCGTTTTACAGCAACTCAAATGGGAAAGTTGTTGCACGGTTTTCTAACAATCTAAACAATGCGAAGAGCTCTCGCGTCATGTGTAACTGCGTGTGTCCCTTTCCTATCGAATTGTGTGCTTTCCAGCTCTATTAGCTCATCAACAAACCGAACTATGCAAGCAAACGTAGTACTCAAGTTGTAAGTGAGTTCCAAGTTTTTTTGTAACATTGTAAACACTGTGAACTACCCCAGTGCGACCCTACCTAGAAGTTGGAGCCCCTAGGGAAGCAGCATAAGTTGCGATGCTATGCTATGCTATGCCATGCTATGCTGCGCTATGCTATGCTATGCCATGCTATGCTATGCCATGCTGCGCTATGATATGATATGCTATGCTATGCTATGCTTTGCTAAGCTATGCTATGTAATGCTGCGCTGTGCTATGCTAAGCTATGCTAATGATTTGCTATGATATGCCATGCTATGCTATGCTAAGCTAAGCTACGCTATGCTATGCTATACTATGCTATGGTAGGGCATGCTATGCTATGCTATGCTATGATGCGCTATGCTATGATATGCTGGGCTATGCTATGACATGCTATGCTGCGCTATGTTATGCTACGCTGTGCTATGCTATGCTGTGCTCTGCTATGCTAAATCTCAGCGGAACTAAGAATAATGTAAGCTAAGCTAAGATAAACTTGAGCTAAGATGAAGCTAAGCTAAGCTAAGCTAAGATGAAATAAGCTAAGCTAAGATGAGATAAGCAACGCTAAGCTAAGGGGTCGTAACTGGAGGAACCGCGGGGCGGGCATTGGGGGAACCGCCCAGGGCGCTTTCCACTGCCCGGCCCTTTTTAAGCCCAGAGAGTAAGAACCCTTCTAGGCAGAGCCTAGGTAGGGAACATATTCTCGTACCATGTAGATGCGCATGCTTACTTCCTATCAAATGGTGCGCTTGCCAGCTCAATATCAAATCTAGGGCTCGAGTTAACTTAATTGAGGAAACCGAACCAAGCAAGTCAAGTTGAAGAGGTTGCTTTCAAGAGTTGTCGTTGGTGAGACGCTCTTCATCAGCAGATTGGCGATGTAGCTGGCGATGGTGTTCCGGCGCGCACACTGCGCAGCTTCGCCATCCAGTTGCTTGTGCGGGACTTGCGTACCCTCGGTGCCGTCGACGGCCTTCTTGCCGAGGGGGTGCAGGCCTGGTTCACCACTCCTGCGCTGCGGGCACTGGCAGTGCGCGTTGTGCAAGTCGCCACTCCTGGCCGGCCGCGCGGCACGTGCTAGCAGAGCAGCAGTGTTGTTGGCCAATGCTGGCCCCTCTGGTTGTACATCGTGTGCGCCGGCGGCCTCTTCAGCGGAAGCGCTGGCAGCTGGCCTGGACAGGCGCGACCCGCAGCGGGCAGAGGCTGAGTTCAATGGCGTGGCTGCGGAGCAGGGCGTGCCGGGTCTGGGATCGTCCCTGCGGCCGGTCGCGGCCATCCAGGCGGTGGCAACAGCGCAGGCGTCCGGCAAGAACCCATTGCAGGCTTTGCACGCGAGGGCGGCATGCCTCAAACTTGAGAGTCGCTAGCATTCTCTGCGAACGACGGCGAGCGGGCTCAGAGGATGGCACCAGTTCGCAGCTGCGGTCTTGCATTATCCCGGATCCAGCGCGTTGCCGCCGAAATCGCCCACAGACATGGAGGCTTTCGTATCAGTTTTCCGGAAGTTTGGCACTGCTTCGAATTACGTATCTTCTGTCAAATTGGCCTGCTTGCAGTTAAGACTTGACACTTCGTGGTTCGATGACGCAATTTTGCAAATGCTCAGAGGTGGCAGGAAACGGGAGCTGCGAGTAATTGGTGGCACGATCAAGATCCAGAGGCCCTTCAAAACGAAGTTGGTCACGCAGCTCGTGGCCCTGGCTGACCGCTCGGGCCAATTTGGCTTCGCAACAGTCCTCTATTCCAGTTGGGAGATTCTGGCCAGGGTGTCCAGCGAAGCTGTGCCGGCCGAGCGGGGCGACGCGAGGGAAGCCATGGTCTTGCCAGCCGGGAGGCACAGTGCCGTCTACATCGATTGTCATGGTGCTTTGTGCGTGCGGTGGAGCAGACGCAAGCATCGACCTCGTGGCTCGTTCTTGCGTCGGCCGTCCCGGTGCGCGCAGGTTGGCCCTCAGTTCTGCGCTGCGCATCGGTTGGGCACGTGGTTGGAGCAGTTTCAAGTTGGACAGACGCTGTGGTCATTCTCAACTTCCAGCGCCCTTGGGGTGTTGCGAAGGCTGCTGTGTCTCTTCGGCGTCCACGACGCGAAGCTGTATACGTGGAAGTGTGTCCAGGGAGGCCGCGCCGCGGACATGTCAGCCCGGGGGTGCACCCTAGGCAGTATCTTGTCCGCTGGCGAGTGGCGCTCTGTGGCAGTACTCCGCTACATCAGCGAGCAGAAGGTGGGCGTGGCGGAGGCTCTGAGGCAGGCCGTGGACGCGAGCGACACCGAGACGGAGTCGTGAGGCGCGACTCGTGGTCTCGGGCTCCGCAGAGCATGCAAAACAAGCTGGACGCATCATTGGGACATTGGGTGCTTGGGGCCCATCAGCGGTAGCTGGGACCTGGGCCCCGCCCGGTTCGGAGTTTCCTCCGGGGGGCGGGTTGCCCTGGGAGGCTGACCTGTATCCCGGATGCCTTGGCAGAGTTTCACTCTGTAGGCTTCGGGAGGGCGACCCTTGGGCCAGTCCCAACGTTGGGCCCGAGGCGTCTCCAGCGCAAGTAGCTTGCTACTTGTTCCCACGAACCCAACGCAGTTATGTGTCACTTTAACGTGTTTAAGCGGGCATAGCTGAAGCGGGGGTCGTGGGGCTGGGGTCCGGGCCCCGTTGCGTCCTTGCGCTTGTGTCCATGGGTCTTGCATCGGGGGTGGGGGCCGTTTGTCGGCGACAGTCGAAATATTCAGTGACGTGCACGACTCAGAAGAAGAAAGTGCGCCGCCCTAGGCGCTCGCACTGCCAGGGTGTATTCTATTCCACGTTGGCCCGTGCCGTCTCTGGTATGGTCGGCTGCGGCCCCGCCGAGAGCTTCGGGGGGCGTGCGTTCTCCCTGGTGTGACCCTTGGGGTTGCTGTGGCTGCTGCCCCGCCGAGAGCCTTCCGGGGGCGCGCTGGCTCCATGGTGCGTCCGTGGCGTTTGCGTTGCGCCGGGACTCGATCCATCAGTGGCCCCGCCGAGAGCTTTCCAGTGGTGGCCGGCGTGTGCTTTCCTGTGGTCTGGCCAGCTTCTCCTGGCGGCCCTGGTCGATGCGTTTTCTCAGAGTTCGTATTCATCTTCATGGGCGGGGCACGGTCAGTAGACGTCTGTGCTCGAAAGTCGCGCGTCGTTCCCCCCCCCCCTCCCTGGACAGCGGCTTTGCTGTAGCTGTTCTTGGGTGGCCGGCTGTGCACTGTACTCCGTCTGTACGCAGCGGCCTACTTGTGCACACCCACCGCTGGGGGCCCATCAGCGGTAGCTGGGGCCTGGGCCCCGCCCGGTTCGGAGGTTCCTCCGGAGGGCGGGTTGCCCTGGGCGGTTGGCCGGTCTCGCGGATGCCTTGGCAGAGTTTCACTCTGTAGGCTTCGGGAGGGCGACCCTTGGGCCAGTCCCAACGATGGGCCCGAACGCAGTTATGGTACCATGTAGATGCGCATGCTTACTTCCTATCAAATGGTGCGCTTGCCAGCTCAATATCACATCAAGGGCTCGAGTTCATTGAGTTGAGGAAACCGAACCAAACAGGTCAAGTTGACATGACTGCTTTTCAGAAGTTTGCAGTCTAGACACTCCGAGGACCTCTGGCGCCATATGTAGATTCGCATGCTGATTTCCTATCGAATGCTGTGCTTGCAACTCTGTATCATATATGGAGCTCAAGTTGACATGAGAAAACCGAACAACGCAAGCAAGTGTACGACTGAACTTGGAGAGTTTTACAGGATTTCCTGTCAATCTGGACAATCCGATCCGAAGAGCTGTCGCGCCACGTTTAGACGTGCATGCTCATGTCCTACCAAGTCATGTGATGGACAACTCTACGACTTCCGCCGAAGTTTTTCGAGCGAACTAGCCCGCCAGCGTTTTGGAACTGGGAACCGACGGTAAACCGTTAACCAAGTTAGCGCCGGCACCCTCGTGGAGCTCTTGACACGCGCACTGGTGCTCAGGGTACAACAGGAAAACTTTCTTGAACAGGAAGAGGAGGCGGATGATGAGGAGGAGGAGGAGGAAGAGGAGGAGGGGGAGGAGGGGGAAGAGGGGGAGGAGGAGGACGAGGAGGAAGAGGCGGAGGTGGCGGGGAGGAGGAGGAGGAGGAGGAGGAGGAGGAGGAGGGAGGAGGAACAGGAGAAGGGGTTGTTTTCTTGTGCTGTTTCCGTGCCTTTTTGTGTCTCGGCGCCGTGGCATCTCCAGCAAACGCCCCCCCCGTCGGCGCCCGCTGGCTGCTCCGTGCAGTGCGATCGGGCCGCGGGTCGGGCGCGGGGGCCCGTCGTCACGCACCGAGGCCACTGGAGAGGGCGGTGGTAAGGTGGAAGACAGGTGGAGGCGCGAGGATGTTCGCTGTTTGCTCGATGGAGCGAAGGCGGAAACAGCGGTTATCTTGGGTCTGCGCTGGGGCCTGGCGCGCTCCGTTCGCCAGGCAGGAGATTCTGGCGCCGATCCAAGAAGTGAAGAAGTGTATGTTTTTGTTTTTTCTTCTTCTGCAAGTGGAGGGGCGAAGCGCTTTGTCGTTTCTGGCGTCTGGGGGCTGTCGCCATGAAGCAAAAGGAACCTGAGAGACACGGGTCCCGCGGTTTTTGGTCGCATTTGGGCTCCTGGGGTCCGTGGAAAGTGTCAGAGAAAGACTCAGGACGAAAATATGCTCTTCGGGAAAGGCCCCAGGATCTGGGATCCGTTTTCTTCAGGACCCATTTGCTTTATGCCAAGGTTGTTGTTGGTCCCCAGGATTGTCGAACATCGAACCGGCGTGAAAGACCAGCTACGATGGACTGCGGGCGGGGTGTGGGGACCGATGTTGTGATTGAATTTTGTATCGAATATGTCCATATCCATGAGGCGCCACTCCATGGACACAGTCGACACAAATAGTACGCAAGGATGATCGACTCCGCAAGGGTACCCTTGCACCCTTGCCTTCTCGGTTGTCTTCGGTCCCTCCTTGACTGCTTTCGATGGCCAGCCCCGCTCGAAGAGCCTCGACATGGGCGTCCAGGGCCCTGGCATCCTCACCGCGCATCCTTAATGTCAGTTTTGGTTCTTCGAGTGGATTTTGTATTCTCGCGCCTGCTCTGGTGCCCTCCGCCGTTCGGCCGCTGGCTATGGCCATCGTGCCGCGGGGAGCGAACTGGCTCGTTCGCCGTCCGAGGCCTGGGGAACTCGCGGGGCCTCGTGAGAACTCCTCTGGGCAAAACAGAATCCTTCCTATCAGGTTTGACTGCCTCCGTGAGGCGCCACCTGGTGGGGTCGACCTCAACGGCATTTCGGCGAACTCGTGGGCCGCTTTCGTTTCGATTGCGTTTTACAGCAGAGCGGATGGAACACAATTTGAGGGACAACGACAACGAAACGAACACGGAAGGCATTGCTTAGGTCGATCCCTGGAGGACGCCCTTCCGAGTCCTGCTGCCTGGCAAATCGCGCATCCTCCGTGAGGCGCATGCGCGGCGCTGGACCCCCCTCCCTGGCGCGCGGAGCGCGCCAGGGGCGGCGCCGGAGGCGCCGCTGGGGGGCCCCAGCGCCGATCCGAGAAATCCGCGCGGACCTCCGAGTTTTTATGTTTATGTCATTCTTCTTTCCCCTGATCAGGTTTGACTGCCTCTGTGAGGCGCCACCCCGCGGATGCGCGATTTCACGGATGCGTCCTGGGCGGGGCCTCCGCGCAAGGCCGCCCGGTGTCCACGGGGCCGTCTCGGCTGGAGTCCGGCCCGCGAGGCCGCGGGCTGCCCGCCACGGGGGGGGGGAGACCGAAGGCTCGAGGATCCAAGAGCACACAGGAAGCAAACGCCTCCTCCTCCTCCTCCTCCTCCTCCTCCTCCTCCCTCCTCCCTCCTCCCTCCTCCCTCCTCCCTGGGCTGTGATACTCATAAGTTATCACCCCCCCCCGGCTGTCGAGGTCATGCACCTCGCTTTCGTGGAAGGCCGATCCGATCCGATCCCTCCTCCCTCCTCCCTCCTCCTCCTCCTCCTCCTCCTCCTCCTCCTCCTCCTCCTCCTCCCACACACGCCTGTGTTTTGTCCACAGTGTTTTTCCCAACCATCCTGTGGTGTTGGGTCCTCGTTTTGAAGAGACGGTGCCCCGCGTTCTCCTTCCTTCCTTCCTTCCTTCCTCCCGCTGCCTCCTCCCCCCTCCCATCATCATCATCATCATCATCATCAACACCCAATTCGGCACACCCCTCACACGTTTCGTGGCTCCATAGGGAGCTCCACCGAAGGCCCCAGTGCCCGCGGCCGCATGCGTCACCCACACCCATTTCGGCACACCCCTCACACGTTTCGTGGCTCCATAGGGAGCTCCACCGAAGGCCCCAGTGCCCGCGGCCGCATGCGTCCCCCACACCCATTTCGGCACACCCCTCACACGTTTCGTGGCTCCATAGGGAGCTCCACCGAAGGCCCCAGTGCCCGCGGCCGCATGCGTCCCCCACACCCATTTCGGCACACCCCTCACACGTTTCGTGGCTCCATAGGGAGCTCCACCGAAGGCCCCAGTGCCCGCGGCCGCATGCGTCCCCCACACCCATTTCGGCACACCCCTCACACGTTTCGTGGCTCCATAGGGAGCTCCACCGAAGGCCCCAGTGCCCGCGGCCGCATGCGTCACCCACACCCATTTCGGCACACCCCTCACACGTTTCGTGGCTCCATAGGGAGCTCCACCGAAGGCCCCAGTGCCCGCCCGCATGCGTCACCCACACCCATTTCGGCATTTCGGCACACCCTCACACGTTTCGTGGCTCCATAGGGAGCTCCACCGAAGGCCCCAGTGCCCGCGGCCGCATGCGTCACCCACACCCATTTCGGCACACCCCTCACACGTTTCGTGGCTCCATAGGGAGCTCCACCGAAGGCCCCAGTGCCCGCGCCCGCATGCGTCACCCACACCCATTTCGGCACACCCCTCACACGTTTCGTGGCTCCATAGGGAGCTCCACCGAAGGCCCCAGTGCCCGCGGCCGCATGCGTCACCCACACCCATTTCGGCACACCCCTCACACGTTTCGTGGCTCCATAGGGAGCTCCACCGAAGGCCCCAGTGCCCGCGGCCGCATGCGTCACCCACACCCATTTCGGCACACCCCTCACACGTTTCGTGGCTCCATAGGGAGCTCCACCGAAGGCCCCAGTGCCCGCGCCCGCATGCGTCACCCACACCCATTTCGGCACACCCCTCACACGTTTCGTGGCTCCATAGGGAGCTCCACCGAAGGCCCCAGTGCCCGCGGCCGCATGCGTCACCCACACCCATTTCGGCACACCCCTCACACGTTTCGTGGCTCCATAGGGAGCTCCACCGAAGGCCCCAGTGCCCGCGCCCGCATGCGTCACCCACACCCATTTCGGCACACCCCTCACACGTTTCGTGGCTCCATAGGGAGCTCCACCGAAGGCCCCAGTGCCCGCGGCCGCATGCGTCACCCACACCCATTTCGGCACACCCCTCACACGTTTCGTGGCTCCATAGGGAGCTCCACCGAAGGCCCCAGTGCCCGCGGCCGCATGCGTCACCCACACCCATTTCGGCACACCCCTCACACGTTTCGTGGCTCCATAGGGAGCTCCACCGAAGGCCCCAGTGCCCGCGGCCGCATGCGATTCGGCACCCCTCACACGTTTCGAGGCTCCATAGGGAGCTCCACCGAAGGCCCCAGTGCCCGCGGCCGCATGCGTCACCCACACCCATTTCGGCACACCCCTCACACGTTTCGTGGCTCCATAGGGAGCTCCACCGAAGGCCTCAGTGCCGCCGCCCGCATGCGTCACCCCCACCCATTTCGGCACCCCCCCCGCATTTCTCGCACGGCAGGGTCATCACCACGGTGGCGTGCCAGGGGCGCACCATGCGCGAAGGCGACGGGGCGGGGGAACGGCGCTCCGGGGGCGGCCAGACCTCCGGGGCGCGAGCAGTCCGCGGCCAGACCATCTCTCGGTCCTGTGGACTCTCGCCCTGGGCCGTCGGCTGCCCGGCGCGCTGCTCCCTCGGTCGACGTCGCCCAGGCGTGATCCTGGATTGCGGCCGCCACGAGGTAGGGAACGGCAAGAAGGAGGACGACGACTGGTGGCTGGAGCTCTACGCGCTGCTCTCGCGCGCCACGCGCCACGAGGACCTCCTGCTCATGCGGGCGCCGCGCATCGAGTTCTTCCTGGCAGGGCCGCCGCAGGGCTTGCGGAAGCAGCTGGAGCAGTTTGCTGCGCGCACGAAGCGGTGCAGGAGGGAAGCGACGGCCCTCGCCAGGGAGCTCGGCTTCACCGAGTTCATCCGCGAGGCCTGACCTGAGGAGCGTCTCCCCCGAGCCGCGCCTTCTCTCGACTGCCCGACTAATTGTTTGGCCTCGCGCCGCGGACGACCCGCGCGCGTCGCTGGGACCCTCTCGGGGCGACCAGCGCGCGTCGCGGGAACTCCGTGCTGCGGGGGGCCCGGCGCCTCGTTCGCCCGTCGTCGCTCTGCCCAGCGGTCAGAGACTTGCCCGCTATCAGCCAGCCAGTTAGCTAGTCAGCTCTCTCTGCTTCGCGCAGCGGACGACCCGCGCGCGTCGCTGGGCCCCCGCCCGGGGCGACCAGCGCGCGTCGCGGGGACTCCGCGCTGCGCTGCGCCCGCAGCCTTGGATTTTGGAGTGCGCGGGCAAAGAGGAAGGAAAAGAAGAGCCGAAAGCGGGCGCGATCCTCGCAAGAGGCGTGCCGACATGGGCGTCGCGACGTGCGGACGCTGCCGTCGGGGTTCCCGCGGAAGCTGCCTGCGGCGGCCACGCCCAGTGTCACGCGTGTTCGGACAGGCATGCTCGAACCATTCACATTCATATACACTTACACTAGGCGTTTCCGTGATCGCACTCATGCAAATATATTCATTCGCGCGCAGACCCATTCATACTCAGATTCCCTCGCGCTCTGACCCACCCGCGTTCTTTCTTTCGTAATCAGATCTATCGTGTTCCTTTGCGTTGTGTGCCCCGCCACATTTCGGCACACCCCTCATGCGGTTCGTGGCCCCATAGGGAGCGCCACCGAAGAAAATACTCACAGTTGCGATACTCACAACTGCATATGGTTGGGTCCTTCGCCAGGATAATTTTTGTGCCACGCGCGTTTTTTATGCAATGTCGGTGATCAGGGTATTCTTGGGCGTGTTTGGCTCGCGTTGGCCCTGATGGGGCGCCCCCGTGGCCATGGGGCGGGGGGGGGTTCGTGGGCGAGAACGACGTCGAGGACGAGGGCGACCTCTCGAGATCTCCGGAGGTCCGGGAAGGAGCAAGCCAACGGCGCCAGCGACGAGGCGGCTGGTGAGGGCGTCGATCACGAGGGCGAAGTGGCGCCGCCGCGTTGCGCCCGAACAAAGTCAACTTCACAATCCCAGACGATCCAAGGCAAGATATATAATTAGTGCTGAGACTGATGTACACACTCTGAGCGGACGCTTTTTCAAACTAATTTGGGACATATAGTTGTGCGGTAGTTAGAGCCAGTGTGGTGCATTTTGCGACCTGGCGTCGCTCGTCACACATGGCTGTAGAGAAACATGCATGCCTCAGCAGTCGGGTTTTTTGGAGCTGCCTCGGCATCGACATCCCGAGGACCCTGGACATAGAGTTAATCTTTTTTGCCCCCATCCCTCCCGCCACGTGTCCGCAATGTTCCCAAAATGTGCTTGCAACACCTTCGGAAGATGTTGTGGGGCTGCCTCGGAAACCTATTCCCAGACGAGCGCTGGGAACTAGATGATGCGGGAATTTCGTACTTGGTGTAAGCGTCGGTCGAGTCCAACGGATGGACTCTAAACCTCTACTGCTCATGCTAATTAACCAAATTAGCTGGGCCCTGTTTGGTCTGCGTGAAGTCGTCGCGTGCACCTCTTGTGCCTTGTCGCTGAAAGGAAAGCGTGCGCTCAGATTCTCAAACAGTGCCATGCCGTATCCTCGCCTGTGTAGTATCGCTCGGAAGAGCCGCACTTGCTCAGTGAAACTGCCTTGGGTGTTGTTGATGCGCAGTATCCGAACCACTGCGGCAAGCATTGTGTCTGCTAACGTGGACCGTCGATTACATGATTCGAACGGGAAGTAATCGCACAATGCCTCTGGCTTCCTGTATGTGCTGCATAGTCTGCCTGACTTAGTCGATGTACATACGACCCGAAGTTGAGAACATGCACAGACGTACCCAGCTGAATATCGTGAGATTTCAGCTTGATACCGTGATGCCAAGCATTGCATGCATCTAGCTCTTGCTGTGCCAAAGCACTCTGGAATCACTCCGAACCACTGCGGCAAGCATTGTGTCTGCTAACGTGGACCGTCGATTACATGATTCGAACGGGAAGTAATCGCACAATGCCTCTGGCTTCCTGTATGTGCTGCATAGTCTGCCTGACTTAGTCGATGTACATACGACCCGAAGTTGAGAACATGCACAGACGTACCCAGCTGAATATCGTGAGATTTCAGCTTGATACCGTGATGCCAAGCATTGCATGCATCTAGCTCTTGCTGTGCCAAAGCACTCTGGCA